AAAAAAAAAAAAAAAAAAAGCACCTATCCTAATGCAAGGAAAATCTTAATAGATCAAACAACTCACTTTACCATTAATTCAACATCAGCCTTAAACATCACCTGCACCATGCACTAGAACAGACAGTAGGTTCATATCTTCTTTAACCATTCATAACAAATTATACTAATTGTTTGAACCTTCTACACTCTCCTAAACAAGTGATCATTACTTTACAAGCTAACTAATATTAATAACTATGCCACGCAGTAGGCACGGTAACTTGTCCGTGTATAACATTGATTCGGTTATTTAGGTTCGCTCTTATTTAGACTAGATTACTAATCACAAACTGGAAGTGTGCGAAATGATATTAGCCGCTTACCCAACAAGGCCTAGGTTGAGGATGCCCCAGGAAGTATTGGGCCAGGCCTTTTCCTTAGCCTTCATCAACAGAACCCTAGCCCAAGCAACCCATCCACCCCATGACATCCTCTTGTCCCATGGGCTGCCCCACCCCAGCAAAAGAGTCAGCCCTTTCTCAGCCAACTTCTCAGCCTCCTCAAACCTTTCCTGGGACAGATAAAGCTGGCTCAAAACCAAATATGGCTCACCCACAAATGGGTTCTTCTCAATGGAGCCCAAAAGCAACTCCTCTGTTTTCCCCTGTCCTCCCTTGGGATTATCTTTCAAGCACACAGCTTCCCAGTACAAGTCCAGTGCTTCTATCTGGCCCTTGGCATCAACCACCTTGGTGCAGCCGTCAAACACCGGCGGCACAACGAGATCGATGTCCTCATCTCTGCCGTTATCTACTTCAATTCCGCCAGTCCTCTTTCTTTCCTCCACATAAATCTCCTCCTCCCTCACAAGCAACGTATAAATTGCACCCATCCTCGATGCCGAATTCAGCCAAAGCCCCGGCTTTCCGTCCCCGGGCCACAAAGCAGTGTAGCTGTTCCCGAAAAAATCAAGCCGGCCATCGTGGTTGTTAAAGAGTCGATCCTGGAATCCAAATAGCTGGTCGCTGAAATCGGCTATTGTCATCATGAGAAAAGTAGCCAATATCCTTCTCGAAACGACAACGTCGTCACCCGTTTTTATATGCTCCACTGTGATGCCGTTTGCAGGGATCAGAGTGTTCAATTTCTTCCTCCAAATTTCCTCTCTATTAAACAAACCCTTTTCCTTCGCATTCTTAACCGAAATCTCCGATTGCTTGAGGTGTTCGATGAGTTCAGAATCGGAGTACTTGAACAGAAGATCGTCGTGGATGATCGGTTGCCTTGGGATGACACAGAACAGGTGAATCAGACGCTCGGCGGCCTCACCGACGTGGCCGCGGACAACATCGCGCCCTGTGTTAGGATCAAATATGGCGAGATTTACGTAGGAGTTGGAGTAAGAGGAGTGAAAGAGGCCGCAAAGACAGACGTAGTCCGGCGCTTTCCAGATCTTGAGAATCCGATGTATGTCCATCAAATGGTCGAGAAAATTACCGTGCTTGTGCCAGCACTCGCCAGCTCCCACCGAGCGCAGGACAGCCACCTGAGCAGGCAATTTCTTGTCGATGGCTTCGAGCTCGCCGCGAAGGAAAGGACGAGCGGAGGCCAAGAGTGTTTGGAGGGATTGGGACGGAGCGGAAGAGATGGAGGATGGCATGGTGATCGCTTGGAACAGGTACAGTGACTCTGTGTGGAACATGAGGAGAGAGAAATGAAGAGGAGAATAAAACGGAGATGCCAAGGATGAAATGGTAATTTGATAGTATTGCAGCGTAACTGAATTTTGATTCCCATTTTGCCTTGAAACAGAGATGGAAGTTCTTTTCTTTTTTTCCTATTACTATTATTATTATTATTATTATTATTATTATTATTATTATTATTATTATTAGGCTAAGCCTAAGAAGGTAAGCAAGTAAATTTTTAAATGTATTAAAAAATAAATGGGGTTTTGTAAATAAGATTTAAAATTAAGAGTTATTTTAAAATTATTGTGAATTATTGTAGTGATAGTTTTTTAAAGTTATGTTTAGTATAATTATTATTTTGAGTTTTAATTTTTAAAAATTTAGAAGGCATAACCCCTTGTTAAGCCCTTCAAAATGACCTATATTCCAAATTGAGCCCTTGAATTATTTTTTAAGAACATAAGTTCCTGAACCCTATTTGTGGGTTGGCACGCAATGTAAATTTAGATGGTTGCATTGTTACTGTGGCAGTGACATGAAAAGAGGTTGCCTTGCAAGTGACGGATAAACGAAAGTTATAGTCACATTGTTGCGCATGCAATCTTTTGTTAAGAAGAGGGCAACATTATGCTTAAAAAATAGTTCAAGGACTCAATCATAAATATGGGTCATGCCACTCACAGCCTTTACCGGAAGAGGAAGGCCATTTAAACTGCAGTAAAAACTGCTTGAGCGACTTTGAAAACTAAAATAAATAATTAATAACTAGGTTAAACCCCTATTTTCATCCTTCAACTACTGCACGAACTCCTGATTTAGTTTTTCAACTCAAAAAATCTTTAATTTGGTTCCTGCTGTTTACCATTTTAACCCAACTTGGTCCCTCCATTAAAAATCCACCTATGTGTCCTGTTAGTTGACGAAAAAGGATGACATGTAAAAATATTTTGACATGTAGGATTGACAGCATGGCATATAAAACTTGACACATAATTTTCAATAAAAATTAAAATATCTAAAATTAATTATAAAACTAAAATTACTTTTTTACCCTCATCTTCAACCACACATCAATTTCTTTCCATTTTCCTTTCGTCACCCCTTCATTTTCATCTCTAGCATCCTATGTTGTTCATCTTCCCCCAAATCCTTGTTCGTTGGCCTTGGGGGTTTTGGATTGGATCGAAGAACCTAGCAGGCACTGCTTGGTTCGATTGAGGAATGTTGGGTTTGATAAGCTTCTCTTTCATGTCTCTCCCTTCTTCCTCCCACAAGAATCAAAGTTTTTGTAGAAATTTGGGAGAAGATACCTTGATTTTTCTAGATTTTTTGGAAGGCTGAAATAGCAATGACTATTTTGGGGAGATTCTGGCTTTATGTTTGTATTATGCTTGGATTTGATGCTAGAAAGTGTTTGGATTTGCAGAAGGTGAAAGGAAAGGAAGAAGAAGAAGAAGCGGTTGTTGGGTTCCTTTAACCTAGTCGTTGCTGGGTTCAAAATCGAATCCAACAGCTACAAGGTTCCTTCTGGGTTCAAAGGAACCTAGCTTTCGAACCCAGGAAAAGAGAGAAATTGGAAGGGAAAATGTCTAGATTGGGTGTTGGAGGAGGGATAGAGAGAGAAAAACAAAATGAATGGATGAAATTGCAGGTTTCATTGGGGGCAATTGCAGGTTTCATCTTTAGGGTTTGTAGAAGGCCAGACAAGGAAGAAGAAGGAGAAAAAGGAAAAAAGAGAATTTTTTAAGTATTTTTTGCCATGTCATTATTTTTTTTCCATGCTATCTTTCTGCATGTATGTAATATTTTGACATGTTATCATGCTCCTATTAGTTAATGGGACACGTAGGTGGATATTTAACGGAGGGACCAAGTTGGGGTTAAAATGATAAATAGTAGGAACCAAATTAGGGATTTTTTTGAGTTGAGGGACTAAATTAGGATCCTACAATAGTTGAAGGACAAAAATGGGGGTTTAACCTAATAACTATTATCCTACTAAATGAAACTTAAGTATTTTACTAAGATGAAAGTTACTGTTATTATTTAATAATTATTTAAAAAAGAGTGTAATAGATTAATATAATTATTAAATTATATAAAATATTAATTAAAATTAATTTAATCAGAATATATTAACACGTTTAATGATATAATATGAAAAAAAAATATTGTGAGACCGCAACTTCAAATGGAACCCTAATCCTTGGGTTAGTATTTAAGTAAACTAATTAATTTCTTTAAATACATTATATCTATATGTAGTTTCACCCTTAACATCATTTTGATAAAAATTATTCTTTCTATTTTAAAATAATAAATTCTTTTATTTTATTTCTAAATTAAAGATTTAGGAACATATTTTATTTTTTATTTTACCTTTAAAAATAAATAAAAAATAAAAAATTAAATTAAGAAATAATTATAAAGTTAAATTTTAAAAAAATATTTATCTATAGCTTCAAAATATAGTGAAATTGACAAAAACACCCTTAACGTCTGAAAAAAAAAAAAGAAAAAAAAGATTGGATTGTAAAAGCATTCCGTGGTTCGTTCGATTACTGTCCACCACATGAATTGAGGATTTTTTTTTCCTTTTATATCATTATCGTTAATAAAATGAGATTACGGTTGGTTGGTGTTCTGCAAGAGAGAAAAGGGTTGAGGTCGTTTTCGTTTTAATTTTATTTTATTTGCGGGTAGTGATGAATTCTCACGACTGATGAATTTTCCCTTCTTTTTTTTTTTCTAATTTATGGGCGGTTGTAAATAGCTAATGATATTTCTTTCTTTCTTTCTTTCTTTCTTTCTTTCTGTTTTATTAGACATTTCTTGTTTTCTAGTGCCACCACAAAAGAAAAATTAAAATAAGAAGACAATATGTACAGTACTTTTTGCTTTCCTTTTCGAGACATTTAATATTAAAAAAAATTAAAATTTGAAATTCCATAACAAAAATAGGATAAAGTTTTTTTCACTTTTATGTTATACGATATAAAACAATTTTTTTTTATCCTCTAAATTTAATTATTAGTAATTTTTTTCCCTCCAAAAATTGTCTCCCGGGAACCTTTGCCGCCCCTCTTATCTCACCTGAACCTCTCCTCCTTTTCTTATTTTCTTCTTCTTCATTTTTTTTTTAAAGATACATTGGGCAATGATAGAAAAACAAATTGAAGTTTGATAGCCACAGCCATAGTGGGTTCATCCGGTGCAGGCAAGAATTATTCAAGCCTCACCAGTCACATTGCAAAAGTACCCATTCCCCACAATTCCCTATGTTTAAAAAAATTGACGTTTGAAAGCAAAAGACTAAAAACTACAGCACGCAGTGATGTGCATGTGTAGCTTGTCTGGCTCAAGGCCTTCGTACAAAATCACTTTTGTTCTTCATAAACATCCAAACTTAGAAAAAAAACGATCGGAATTCTATAGAAAACGAATAATTACACGAGTTTTGTTTTGGGGTACTTAAATTCCACTTGAGTCCTAGACAAAATATGAAGATGAGATTGAAGGAGAAGCTTTGAATGGTCTTCTTTCTCTTGCTGTGTCTAGTATAACTACTATTATTATAGATCAAGAAATAGAACTAATTTAGTATTCTTGCAAAGTTTGAAAGCCCCATTTTCGCACTAGATTTGGTTAAGGATTTGCACTCTTCAAGTCTAAATCCAGCTGCTGAGTTGCCTCTCATTCGATTTTATGTTCATGGCCCGCATTAGAAAACTTCTACACGGCAATACTATCCGTAACAGAAAGTTAATATATCAAAGTTTCTTTTCTTAAGTCAAAGGTTTTTCATGCTATTTCAAAAGTTTCCTATGTCATATTACAAGCATCTTAATTATGTCACTAAAAATTTGATTTCGAGATGGCCTTAAATGTGCTGAGGTAGCCTTTGTTCAAAATACCATGAAGCTAACTGGTCATTTAGTTTGTTGCATGTTTATGAATTTTGTCCCTAGTTTCTTTGTTAATTTTATATTTTGTATGCTTATGATTTCCGTTTCATTTTGCAGATTTATAGTAGTAGTACTTAGTTTTGTGGCTTTGCTTGAGTTTAGTTTGTTGAATGATCCTTTTTTTTTCTTGGCTTATCAATATTTGATATTAGTTTTCTTGACTTATTTTTTGTAGTCTCTTTCTCTCTTTCCTTGATTCTCTCTGCTCTCTCTTGCTTTTTCTTTACTCTAGTCATTGCCTTTATCTCCTCAATGGCTAGGGAGCATGAATAAGTGAGAGATTACCCCTCTTTGGGTTTCTCTTTCTCTTGTGAGAATTTCTCTTTCTTTAGGAAGTCTCTATGTCTCAATTCATTTTCATTAGGTTTTACCTATGGTGAAGAACAAAGGCAGTGTGGATGTGGCTGGTTAGGCTCAAATAGGTTTTAGCACTTCTTTCAGTTGTTGATGACATAGTTAGGGTGAGGTCCCTAACTAATTGTTCTACCCCATAAGCTAGAGTATGAGATGAGACTTCTCAAATGCATAGAACTCACAATTGGGTAGCTTTCCTAGGTATGCTCACTTCCTTATAGAAATTGCTTATGTAAAGTTTGGTAATTGATAGTTTTATGTACTTATTTTCCAATATGCTATGGTGAAATTAGCTATTACTAGTGCTATAAATTTAGCTTCACTACACATGCCAATTTATTGGGATTTATAGGCAATATTTCGATTATTAACTAATCTCATGAATCTCATGAATTAGTATAAAAAATTTATTTATTGTTAATGAAAAGGAGGATCTCGGATCAAAATTCATTAAAAATTATCGACCAAAAAAATTTGACCAATATTAAAAGCGATGACTCAAATAGAATTAAAATTACGAGAATTATGTGATGTTTTTGGATTAGTAGTCCAAACATATAATATTATAAAGTCAATATACTACAAGTGATCTTGTGAAAATATAATAAATGCAAAGGAAAACTTGTAGGATAAAGATTTATGTAAAATTTAAAATTTGTTTTGAGAAGATATTCTCTCTTGGCAGATTTTATTCATTTGTTTTTCTCAAGTTTGTTGCATATTTACATGCAAAGCCTATAAGCCTAAAAAATGAGTTTGTTGTAAATTTGTCATCTAGTTCCATTTTATCTTCTCTTGTGGTGTATAAGGGATGTCATGTTTTGGTTATTGAGTAATGTCTACTAGTTGCTTTGATTCTTCTCAATATTGATGAATTCGATGTAAGAGTAATGGATTGGTTGTTAACTCATAAGGCTAGGTAGATTGTTTGAATAAGGTAGTTACTTTTTCAAGTTTCTAGTAAACCAATTATCCAATTTAAGGATGAGGATTTACATGCATATCCTATGTTAATTTTTAATGTGAGGGCTACAAATTATTTACAACAAGAGTGTGTTCAAGGTATCTTACTTATATTTTTGAAAATAAAAGCAAATCTTATAGTGTGCAAGGAATCATGGTATTGGAAAACTTTGAGGATGTTTTTCCAAAGGAATTACCCAGATTGCCACATAAGAAAGAGATAGAATTTGTGATAGATTTGGTACTTGGAACGCTACTAATTTCACAATCTTCTACAGAATGGCCTATATATAATTGATAAAGTTAAAGAAATAGCAATAGGAATTATTATTGGATAAATGTTTTATTTAAGATGAGTGTGTCCCCCTAGGGAGCTCCAATTGATAATTAAGAATAAGTACCATTTACCTAGAACTGATGACCTTTTTGACTAGTTACATGGTGCTAAAGTGTTTTCAAAAATTGACTAGGGGTCAAGATATTATTAGTTGAGAATTGAGGATGAAGACATTATGAAACATCTTTTAGGACTAGATTTGGACAATATGAGCTCCTTGATATGCTCTTTAGGCTAGCAAATATTCTAGCAGCATTTATGAATCTCATACATAGAGTATTAGAACCATATTTAAATAAATTTATTATAGTTTTTATAGATGACATGCTAAAATATTCTCTAGATGAAGAAAGTCATGGAAAACATTTTGCCTTTATTTTGTTGCATTTAAGGGAGAAAAAAACTATATGCCAAAAATAGAGAAATCTGAGTTTTGGTTAACTCAAATAGGTTTCATAGGGCATATAGTTACTAGCAAGGGAATTTCTATTGACCCTAATAAGTTTGAGGAGTTGGAAGATACCAACTAATGTTTTTGATATAAGGAGTTTTCTAGGATTTTCTTGTTACAATATGAGGTTTGTCAAGGGATATTTCAAAATTTTTGGACCCTAAATACAACTAACCAGAAAAGACCAAAAGTTTGTTTAGTATGTTTAGTGTGAAGCTAGTTTTCAAGAATTTAAGTAAAGCTAGTGTCAATACCCATTTTAGTGTTTACCTAGTAAAAAGGGAAAGTCTTTTATTTATTCAAATACTCTATTTAGAGCTTTGGGGTATGTGTTAATGTAGCAAGGAAGGGTAATTGTCTATGGGAGTAGATAATTGAAAATTTATGAAAAGAATTACCCAGTTCATGATTTGAAATTACCAACAATTATTTTTGCACTAAAACTTTGGAGGCATTACCTTTATGGAGAAGAGTTTGAGATCTTTATTGATCATTAAAGCTTAAAACATGTCTTCCCAAAAAGATTTAAATCTTAGGCAAATAAGATTGGATGAGTATTTAAATGATTTCAATTGTAAAATCATGTACCAACTTGGAAAAGCAAATTTGGTGGTAGATGCATCAAGAAGAAAGTCTATTTCCTTGGTTGTAATGTGTACTAGAGGGTGGGAAGTTGTTGGAAGAATTTGAAATTTTGGAAGTTCAAATTATTAACCATCAACATAGGGTGTTGTTAGCTAGTATGAGTTTGCAACCAAAAATATTTGAGAAGATTAAAAATGCTCAACAGAAAAATTCCTTGTTACGAAAGTGGATTTGTGGTGACAAAAAGAAAAAAAAAAAGAATTAGGCTAGAGATGTCATTTGATGGGATGATTAGAATGGTAGGTAGATTGTGCATTCCTAGTGATGTTGAGTTAAAAAAAGAACTGTTGCAAGTAGCACATAAGTCTATGTACATCATTTATCTTGGTTGTACAAAAATGTATAGTGATTTGAGAGGGAACTTTTGGTGGTTTGGAATGAAAAGAGATTTTATTAAATTTGTGGCAAGATGTCTAGGTTGTCAGTTGGTGAAGGCAAAATGCCAAAAACCTAATGGTGTGCTATAGCCATTGCCTATGCTAAAATAGTAATGGGAAGATGTGACCATGGACTTTTTACTTGGACTACCTAAGACCAAGAGACAGTCCAATGTAGTTTGGGTAATTATCAACAAGTTTATTGCACATTTTATTCCAGTTAAAAAGAAGCATGATTTGAATGAGTTAACTGCACTTTATGTTTAGGAGAGAGATAGGCTCCATGGTGTGTCTATTAGAATTATTTCAAACAAGAACAACAAGATCTAAAATCTAGAGGGCATTACAAAAGCCTTTGGAACTAAGTTGAGAATGAGTACTACCTTTCATCCATAAACTGATGAGTAGTTAGAAAGGATTGTACAAGTTTTGTAGGACATGCTTAGAGCTTGTGCACTAGATATGCCAGATGGTTGTGAGGAACACTTTTACCCAATGGAGTTTTCCTACAATAATAGCTACAATGAAAGTATAGGAATGACTTCACTTGAAGCCTTATATGCAAGAAGGTATAGAATACCTTTATGTTGGTTTGAAGTAGGTGAGGGGAGACTAATTTAGAATTAGTGCGAAGGACAACAAAAAAGATTAAGTTAATTTGGAAGAGATTGAGAGTAGCTTAGGATTGGCGAAAGAAATATGCTAGAATTAAAAGGAGACCTCTAGAATTTCATGTTAGAGAGAATTTTCTAAAAAGTTTCTTTAACAAAAAGGATGAGCAAATTTGGTTTGGAGGGAGAATTGAGTCCAAAGTATATTGAGCTCTTTGAAATGTCACGCCCCATATTCTAGAGTGAAATAGACGTCGTACACTTGTGAGTGGGATCCATAAGTGCACCAGACTCAAAACTAAGTTAAACTCACTACCCAAAATCGAATACAAATAAATAAAATCTTTTAATACCTCTATTATTATTAAAATTTAAGCAATGTTCAAATAAATACTTCAAAGTCAAATTACATAAGAATTGCAAATCAAATCCTCTAACTTTCTAATAAGTCCAAAAGAACTAAATCAAGTCTCAACTAAATCCAAACTGACTCTAATAAGTATCCATCACATGCCCTTGATCCCTAATGTCTCTAATATCATTACCTGAAATGGTGGACAAAGAAAAACATGAGATATAATCTCAATAAATAAATATTAGGTTTCTCCTTTTTATTTATATAAATTTTAAATTTTAGCACGCCAAGAAGTGTAAATCAAGTATCAAGAAAACCGGTACAAGTACGGATAACGAAATAAATGCCTTGATGAGAATCCCAAAGAGAACAATGAGACCCACAACATGACAAGGGATTTCTAAACTCTAGGAAAGCTAAATCGGGTTTATAATAGGACCTTGACCCATTGTTTATATCGCAACAAGAACCAAAGGTAAAAACCTTGACCCATTGTCTATGATGCAACAAGAACCAGAGGTATAAAGTTGGTTAACGCCACACCCTCGAACGATTAAGAACGAGAATGATAAGTCAGGTTAGAACGCCACAAGAATAATCTTGATAAGTTCTGTAAAGTTCTGAAACGAACCAAAGAGAAAAGTCTCTCAAAATCTCAAATTCAATAGCCTTCCCAATTAGGGTTACAAGCCCCTTTAAATAGGGAAAAGTAATTCTAATCAGAATAGGAAACTAACACCCTAAGTCCTAATCATAATAACCATGAATTGGGCCTCAAATAAATGAATGTTCAGCCCAAAATAATATCAAAAATGTGAAAATCACTAAAACTAGCCTAAAGTAACATGAAATATCAGTTTGTTACAAATTGCGACAGAATTGCGAGATTGACGCAAACTGGGTAATTTAGCATAAATAACCTCAATTAAGCTTCTCTTGAACCTGAATGATGTTTATCATGCCTTGATAATCATCCAAGCTTCGATTTGCTTGTTGTATGTTGTTTTATGTTGTTTTCAACCCAGATCTGCTCAATAAGGCCATTTAAAGCTTCACGCATCTTCTTAGCTCTAGCTCGCGTGACTGGACCTTCTTGGGTGTGTAATGGATCACATGACGTAGTAGATATGTTGTTGTCTTAATTCCCATCATTCCCTCTCTCCTCAAAAGGATTTGTCCTCAAATCGTCACCTACATCAAAAGGAGAAAGATCAGAAACATTAAAAGTGTTGGAAAAATAGGGCAGAAAATCTGCAAATGGCTTCAAGGTGTGTTGCAAATGCCACTTTCCTTTAGGCTAATTTCACCCCCACCAGATCTGGTATGCAAAAGGAGTAACCCGAAATGCCCGTAGGATACAATGAAGCGCCTTGTTGATCTTGCTTTTGCACTAGCAAGATCAATCACTGAACTATCCTTTGGAAAGCGACAAAACAATAGTTTTTGTACAAGGATTTCTGCAGCAATCAAAGTGCAAAAAGGAGCTGTTTTATTTAGATAATAGTAAGGGTTTGTTTCTGGGTTTAAGAGACAAAGAAGAAGAAGGGATAACTTCACATTTATAGGGGCAAGATGTCTGTTGTGAACAGACGCTCCTTTTCAGTTATTATCAGTTTATTAACGGATAATAACTGAGTTATCATGAAATTTATCCATTGGAAACTTTTCCAAAAGTCATTTGGTTTGATTTGAACTCCAAATGACG